AATTGGTCACATGACGACTCTTTCAGGGAGTACGATTGTGCGTGCATCGATGGGGCCAGGTGCGGGTGTGGCGATGGCTCCAGCGACGACAGCCATGCAGAGGACGGGGTATAGTACAATCTCACCCTCAGTGAAGACGCCCGGTAATAATGGGGTGGCCAGCTTGACGGCAAGGACAGCACGTCTGAACCTGGGTGGGGAGAGAACAGATGCAGTGAGCACGGCGATGAGGGGCTGGCCAAATGGGGATCGCCCGAGGCCAAGGAGGGGGGCATTGGGAATTTCTCCTTCGAACAATGGAAGTATTAATGGGCAGTTGAAAGATGGAGGGGTATTGGTAGGTAGCTCTGGTGAGGGGATGGACCGAATGCCACGGTTAAACAGACCGATGCGGAGCAGAGGGGCAGGTGGCATGCGCCATCTACGGGTTGGAGCTGATTCTGGCAGCTCCTCTCGTGAGCTGAGGGAGCAATATAATAGGGCGGATTTCAACTGCAAGCCTGATATGGCACGCTTCTTTGTTATCAAGTCCTACAGTGAGGATGATGTCCACAAGAGCATCAAGTTCAACGTTTGGGCCAGCACTCCAAACGGGAACCGTCGGCTGGAGAACGCTTACAAAGAGGCTCAAGAGAAAGGTGGCCGTGCTATGTGCCCAATCTTTCTCTTCTTTTCGGTAAGTCTGACACTTACCTTATTTTAAAAAAATCGTAATTAATTCCATTTTGCCCTGGGTTAGGATCCTGATGTTAAATTTGTCATGGGATCCTGATGTTAAATTTGTCATGGCCCTCTGGGCACATCTGTTTTCAGTCAGTTGCTGACGTGCATGAATACTTGCAGATCCCTATCTCTCACGTAGAGGGTCCACTCGGTGTCCGTAGTCTTGGTCTTGGTGGTTGCTTCTGGTTATTTTAGTGTCCTCTTTTTTTCTGTTCATGTTTGGGTTGATTTTTTGGTTATTTTAGCGTCCCATGTTTTCTATTCGTGTTTGTGGATTGATGTCAAGTCCTGCTCTGTCTCCCTAGCTATTTCTTTTCACTTATTCGTCCGAGCAAATTGGTAAGTGTGCGGAGTTGGTTGCATGTATGAAAACGATGTCTTGACTGTGGTATAGCTCTATTGACAAGACTCCCCTTTAGGAAACTGAGCCAATGCCGCGTTAACGATCTACAGCTTGTGGTGAAAACTAGCCAAGGTGTTGCTTGTGTGACAACAATTCCCGGATGCACTTCCACTGTGGTAGCTCTGTCAACTTGCGGAAAAGTGCCCAAGTTGTTATGTTGAAGCAGTCTCAGTCGAGTGTTGCCTCCTGGTGGTGGGTGGCATTAAACTATCGACCATGCATGATGTCTCTGGTGATCGATAACGAACCATCTGGTGTAGATCTCCTCACTCAGGAGGCACCGAGTGCTAAAGCTCTGAAACTGTTTGTTGTCTCCGCAGGTAAATGCGAGTGGCCAGTTCCTCGGTGTGGCAGAGATGACGGGACCTGTCAACTTTGAGCAGAGCGTCGATTATTGGCAGCAGGACAAGTGGAGTGGGCATTTTCCAGTTCATTGGCACTTGATCAAGGACATCCCAAACGGGAATTTCCGTCATATCATTTTAGAGAACAATGACAACAAGCCAGTGACAAACAGCAGGGATACCCAAGAGGTAAGGGGAGTGCATTTCACGAGTTGGTTGACTGCATAATGATGGTCCTCGTACGTGCTCTTAAAATTTCTTCAGTTGAGGATGTTGGCTTGGAAATTTCATTGAATCTAGGCTACCAAAGTGGCCCGGGGCCATTTGCCCTGCGTGTCCAAAAAAAGTAAAAAAATAAAAAAATAGAAATTATTTGGCCACTTGCCCTGCGTGTCCAAAACAAAATAAGAAAATAAAAAAATTGAAATTATTTTCTTAACTTACTTTTTATTTAAAATTTGGCAAAGAATTTCGATGTGACCCTGAGGCAAAAGTTGTTCCGTTTATTTTTCTGCATAACATAGTTCTTTTTGTTTTTTTTTTGTTTTGCTAGGAACTTCCCTGGTCCTTGCACGGCCTGGCCGTCCGGGAAAAATAGGTTGACCCGGGTGAACCTGGATTTGAAGGTTTATTTGGGGCTATGTGCGAGCTGTGAAGGCTGGCTCAGCTGGAACGGAACGAGTGTTGTGGTGGGTCAGCTGTGAATTTCTGTTGGTGGGAAAAGGCAGAGGCTGCAGGTTTGCTAGCTAGCAAAAAATCAATCGCCGTAATGGCACTGTTTTGTACTTTTTGCAGCATCATTTTAGTTTCTGGTGTTACGGTTGTTTGTGTCGGAAACCCAGTTCATCTCATCATTGAAATAGATGGGCCCTGTGACCACACCGCCGTCTGTACGCAGGGCCCAAACATTTCAACGTTCCTTAGTCGGTTCGTCCAGCGCTGTTTATGGCATAATTATGTCTTGATTTTCCTGCATCGCCGTTAATAGCCTGAGATCGCCCTGTACCGGAGGCACCAACTGGTGCAAGAGCACAAGTTTCTGCTAAACATCTGACATTTTTCAGGAGTGAGGGTTGCAAACAGGGTCGATTAATTACCTTTTTCCCGATGTCTATTTGTCAACTCACAGCTTGCTCCGTGAAATGTATCAACTCACAATTAAGGAGCACCGTGACTGTATGCCATCCACTTAGAGGTTTTAATTGTGAGTTTTGGCTATTGCTGTGCAGATAAAGTATGAACAAGGAGTTGAGATGCTTACTATTTTCAAGAACTTCCCGGCGAAGACATCTATTCTTGACGACTTTGACTTCTATGACAACAGGCAGAAGCAGTTGCAGGAGAAGAAGGCAAGGCAGGCTCAACAGAGGCAAAGGGAGCAACACCAAGGAAGGCCATCTTATCAGGTTCCTCCTCAACACAGTCTGCAGCATCAGCCACTTGCCCAGCACCCACACCAATATCACCAGCAGCAACACCAGCAGCACCAGATGCACCAACAGCACCAGCAGCACCAGCAGCACCTGCAGCACCAGCAGCTCCAGCAGCACCAACAGCACCAGGAACATCATCAGCAACACCAACAACAGCAGCACCAGCCACAACAGATCTCACCCCATGTGACTGCACACCCAAAGAGGGCAGATCCTTCGACTTCTGGTTTCGAAACCTCGATGGGGCCAAAGTTGGATGGGAAGCAGAGCCTGCTGCCAGAACCTGGAAACAGGCCATCTCCTGGTGCTGCTCCCAGTGTGCTGCTTCGGGCGTCCTCAAGTAGCGAGCCAGTGAGCATGAGTCCGGACCGAGCAAGTGGGCACGTTTCAGCAGCGACTACTGCGGCCGAAGAGACAAAAGAGCGTGGTCGGCCCCAGGATTCTGCACCGTCGGATCAGGGAGCCAGTGGTCAATCCCCTGTGTCCGATGCGAGTGCAAAGACTGTGAGCAGTGCGAAGGGGATTTTGGTGCAAGATGGCACGGTTGCTGGGGGTCAGCAACGCTCCGCGAATCCAGCCAGCGCAGCTGATGGGGTCGGGGTGGAGTCGAGAGTGGGGCTTGGTCATGGTGGTGGTACAAAAGAGGAGAAAGCGCTCGGTGGCCCGACAAAAAGAGAGGTGTAAGCCACTGGAAAAAGTAGACAAGCTGCGGCAGGAGGTGGAACAATGACAGTGGTGGCAGAAGTTGGTCGTGACTGGCAGGGCTTTGTTCACAGTGCATGGGATGAGGCCCTTTGCTATTCCGTGTGTCTTTACTCCATACTTTCTGGAGTGGCTGGACTGGACTGGACAGAGGTGTGGCGCTGTTGCAATGCCATGAATGAAGCATGGTGGCTTTGTGGAAGGAAGGCTGCTGGTACATCCTTGGCCTCTTTACGTTGGTATGCAGGCAGGGTTGTGGGATGGATTCATTCATGATCGTGGCCAGGTTGTGCTAACCTATCCAGGTTGGAGATGATGTGGAGGCAGAATCGGGAACGGGAGTGACGGGGAACGGTTTACCACCCAGATAATGGCAAGCGGTATATTTTGGTAGCGATGAAGAAGGATTGTCATGTTGATGGCTAGGTGGGAGAGTAGGCTGGCTTTGCTGGTGTGCAGTTGCGGTCTTGGTAATGATGTGTTTAGTCTCTGTCGTAGTTATGACTGCGCTAATGGAGCTGGAGATGCCATCATGAGGTTGAGCTTGAAAAGGATGTTTGAGTCACGGTTATCATCAGCCAGTCTTCTATATTAACGTTGTCGGTTATCTCCCAACGAAATTTGTGGATTATGCTATTGATGCTGGACAAGAAATAACAGTCCTTGGCAATTTTTTCTTTCTTTTTTCTTTCTCGGTGGGGATCGGGGATGATACTTGTAGAGCTTGCGTATGTGCTTGTCAGAAAGCCAAGTATGGAAGGACTTCCCTTGTTAGTCGGAGAGGGAGTGAAGAAGATGAGGGAATTTTGTGGGGTGCATGGGGATCATTTGGCGGGGCGTATGAAGGGGGTGCTTGATGCCATAGAGAGGAACGTAGTGAGGATGTAGACTACAGTTTCATTTTGGAAATGTGGAAGGGATCTTGGCCTCCTGGTGGCTTGGGGAGGGGGCATTCATTCAGATCTTTCTTGCGTAAAGAAGGTGGTTTGTTTCGGAATTTTTACTTGGTAGGTGGGTGGCATGGAGGCCACTTCTGAGATGGAAAGAGGACATCTGAGCCCCCTGTAAAGAGTAGTACGAGAGTGCAGCATGCAGGTGATGGAGGGGATTCCGATGGGGCGGAGCCTTGGTGGTACTCTGTTTTTGCCGGGAAACAGGGGGGCATATTGGAAGTGGTGGAAAAAAGTGTTCTTCACTTGTGTCCATTTAAGGCGAGACAGGTTGGCCGAGGTTTCAGGAAGATAGAAGCTTTGCGTGCTGCTATTTGAGTTGCTTGTGGCAGGAAGGATGGAGGTCAGCGTTTACATGGTCTTCCCAGTGGCGATAAATGACGGTGAGTGGGAAGAATGAAAGTCCCAGGAGGGAGTGAGTGCCGAGTGGCAGGACAGGGAGGGATGCAAAACCTCCCCCACACGTGCGTTGGTAGTAAACTTCCAGGCACAATATGAATGGCAGGGAGTGTGTTGAGAGGAGGAGGGGGCGTGTGATCTTAGCACAGGCTAAGAAAACATGCCCGACTATTGCAGGGGGTTTGTGTACCAGAAGGACTGGAATAACGTGCGATGGCGACAGCAGTGAAAGGAAGATGTGTAGGTGGTGGTTGGTTGGGAAATTGGTTCGGGGCTATCTGTGATGGCCCCCCAGTTTGCTCATTGGCTTCTTCGTTTTAGTAGGTTTCAGGAGCAGGGTACCTGCTGGGTTGCTTGCTCTCGAGTGTACATGATAACCGGCATAACTGGCCTTCACCTTCCTGCTGGATTTTCTGGTAAAGAGTCTGGTGCAAGGCTTGGACTAACAACAGGTTGAGCACAAAATGCGACAGAGTTGTTTCGAGGCACACGACAAGTGTTGTGGGACTAAAAGCTGGGCGAATAAAACACAAGGGTGGTTGATGCTGTCCCCTGGGATGTTCACAAGCAGACAGGAACGGGGAGTGCGAGGTTTCCACTGTTTGGATGCGTGGTTGAGTTGGGGACTCGTTCAAGGGATTGCCAGGATGCTTCCTTGGCCTTCAAAAAAAGTCGAGGAAATGTGCGGTCGGGCCGCTCGGGGCTTTCGGTGAGAGGCGGAGGGTGCCGATGCATTTCCTGGCCCTTCACCGAGTGAGGAGCAGGAGTGGCACTTGGGTCGGACTTCTGAGCTCGGTGGATGAGACCCGATGGTATATGGGGGAGGGGGCTGCGAACATTGCTTGGCAGGAAAGTAGGGAAGCGTCACCATGACTGCGGGTGGGAGCGAGGTAGTCGCAGGGCGAAGGGACAGTAGGTGGTGCTGGTAATGCCTGTTGAAGCGAAACTACGTGGAAGCAGGCAAAGCATGTAGGCCAAGAGTAGTGCGAATCCATGAGATTGTGTATACGTTGTTGGCCCGAAAGCTGTCAGCAGCTGACATTCCAACGCACACCCTAGGAAACCTGAAATTGCAAAGGGAGAGTGAAGGGGCATGCAAGTCACCCGGCGGTTTTTTGATGGGGGTGAGCACTGTGAAAGCCCAGTAGTGTAATCCCTGAAGCCGATATTTTTCTTTCCATCAATTTGCGGTACGAGGGAGGGAAACAAGTCTCATGGTGGTCGAGGGAGGAGATGAATCCTGTCGACTTGGCGGAGCAGGCTGTGGAGGGTGGAGGCAACCTGTGCCATGTATGGAGGATTTTGCCGGAGTGGCTACGAGGCTGACAAAGAGGGGGGGGGGGGGGGGGGGGGGGAAGGAATGTGCTAGCGAAGGAATGTGCTAGCGAGCCCTGATGGATTGCTAAAGGAAATCCCAAAGCGACGTTGCACCAGCCGCGATCGACTGCCTCGTTAATTCCTTAGAAGCTACGACTGGTGAGGTTTGCTGAGATGTTGGGCCATGGCGGAGTGCGGGACAGACTGGGGACAGGGACCTGGTGCATTCATCATGTGAGAAGGAAACTGGAGTTTTGCAGCGATTGGTTCTATTTTTGGAGTTGTGAACTTCGGCGGGATGATGGGTGTCGGAGAGGCTGGCAGATGTGATGAGAGAGCTGCAGTTTTGCAGTGATTGATTTCTTTTTAGAATTGTGGAGTTTTGGAAGGCGATTGGAGTCAGAGAGGAGGGCTTGAGAGGCCGTCTATGGTCTGGGGAGATGTTCTCTTTTCCTCGAATCGAATCATGATAAATCAGCCTGGGGAAATTTGCCCCACTGTTGTTGTCAAGCCAGGTGGGTCTGTGTATGTCTTCTCACCATTGAAGTATATGATTCAAAGAGAGGTGATGACCAGGTTTCCTGTCTTCTCGCTGCTCTTGTCCGTGCTCTGTGATGCCGTGCTTGTCGTTTACTGCCGCCTGTACACATCGTGTTCCTCTCACAACCTGCTTTTCTCTCTCTCTCTCTCGTTTGTCTTCCTTCTCCCCATTCTTAGTGCCCCACTGTACCCTGGCCATCATGTCACTCGCTCTGAGCAAAATATTCTCTCGTCTGCATCCCCATCTGCTGGTCATGGCTTCATGCTGTTCGACCCTGTTGTCATCCTAGTCAGCGCATTCCAAACCCTCCCTTTGCCTTTTCTGTATTCAGACCCTCCCAAGGCTCTTGTGAGGCATGTGCATTTCGATGTCGTGGGGGGGTTGTGGTTTTGTGGGGTCTTCTCATATTAATCACAGACCGTCTGACGCTGCAGTTTTAGCAGCTGGTGAAACCTATTTTTCACCTATTGCGACAGGCAGAAAGCCAATGAATGGATGATAGCCCATGCGCAAGGCTCATCTTTGTCGCTTTGATTGCAGACCATGCTCGTTCTGTGATGGCCTTCTGTGTCACTGACACTGCAGTCTTAGGAGCTGGTGAAGCCTATTGATCACCCACCCTCTGAGGGGACGATGTGAGGAGAGCTTGGGACTCTCACAACCTACACTGGTGGACCTGTTTGGTATGCATCTCTTGGCGATGGGGCGCAATCCGTTACGTGTGGGCATGCGTGTCTGGATGGATCTGGGTAAAAGCATGGGTGTGCATGCACAGCCAATGGATATTTGTCACAGCCCCTCGTTTGTTGTCCTCTTCTCCCTCTCTGCCTACGGTTTACCGGGCAGTTCTATTTGACGATATATATATATCCTGAACGGATGATAGCCAATGTGCAAGGATGACGGATGGTGATGCTCACCGTGCTCTTCCTTGAGGGCATTCTGTGTCATCTAACACTGCAGTATAAGGAGCTGGCGAAGCCTATTATGCACGCGTCTGGTGTAGGCATAAAGCGAACGGATGATAGCCACCAATTTGAAAGGACAACTGACGGAGATGAGCAAACGATGGAGCGATGTTCATTGGCTCAGTGAAATTGATGACCATGTTCGTATAGGGACTGATTTGCACAGTTTATGAATTAAAAAGCTGTCATGACTTGGGCACAAGCTTGCATTCGCCTGTATGGATGAGTGTTTGGACATTCGGATACGTAAATCCAAGTGGGAAGCAACGGGGTGTGTGGGTGGTATCAGCACATTTGTGACACTGTGGGTGGGTGTATTGCCGGTGGTAAGGGGTGACAACTGTCCGTAGGGTTAGGTAGATGGCATGGCAGGGGCCTAACCAGTGTACACAAGCAGGCCGGTGAGGATGTGCATGAACAAGGGACAAATGGGTGGTCGCATATAGTTCGTGGAAGTCCACGGTATATGAGAGTACTCCGCGGGATGGACAGGGCTGACATGCTGGTGAGAGCGTGCTGCACACATGGAGGAGAAGAGATGTGTGCGGAGGTGGAAGGTCAGTCAGTAGCGTAGCATGTAGATGGGTGTGGAGGGGCCCGTGGATGGATGGATGGATTGTTACGGAGGATGAGTATGGAGAGTGGGAGAGGCTCAGTTGAGCATGGGCGGTCGGTCCATTCACAGGAGAGTGAGAAAGGCTCAGTTGAGCATGGGGGGTCCATTGACAGGAGAGTGAGAGAGGCTCAGTTTAGCATTGGGGGGGTTCCATTCACAGGAGAGTGGGAGAGGCTCAGTTGAGCATGGGGGGGTCCATTCACAGGATTAAGAGTGCACGTGTGTCGGAGACCGAAGGTGAAGGGGGGTGCTTCCTCAAAGACTGACGATGAAAAAGCGTACAGGATGACAGTTGTGGCTACAGTATGGTTAGATAAGAGTAGTTGGAAGTGACCACAGAGTGTGGATTTACACTGGCAGGAGCAAAATGGTGGGTATGTAGGGGTTCAGGTGAGCATACGGTATCCGTTTTCAGGACAGAGTGCTTGTGTGAAAGGCCTAAGGGTGGAGGGGACTGATGATCAAGGGTACAGAATGACCAATTGGATTCAATACAATTAGATGAGTAGTTGCGAGTGACCGCCGAGTTTCGACTTACAGTGGCAGGGAGGGGGGTGAACAGCCATGCAGAGGTGGACGGGCTCAGGTGACCACGCAGGAGCAAGGGGGTGGCACGTTAGGTGGTGGGTGAAGGGTACACAGCCAGGGTTTGGTCTTCATTGTGTACACTGGAACGGACGGAAGAGGAATGCGATCTGGGATTTCTGAGTGAATCGACGTGGGCTTGTGTCTTGTCCATGAAGGAAGATCCCAGGCAGGAGCAGGGATGTGCTTGTGCAGACCTTTGCTTCCAACTCCAGCCGCGACAATTTTCATTGGCCAACCACAAGTGGCTCACACTATGGTTCTTGATTCTTTTCAGATTGCGGCAGCGATGTGAGGTTGCTTGCTAATGCCTCCCTTTGTTTTGAACCCAGTCTAGCGTTTCTGCCGACATCAGATACATCAGATACATCAGATACATGGCGTCCGTCTCATGCAATCTGTCTGCGCACCTTCTCGAGCATGATTGCTCCCAAGGAATAGCCCTGGTGTCCCTGGCGTCTGAGATTGTGTTTGTGAGAGGCAGTTCTCTCAACCCCTCCCTGCAATTTGGAAAACTGCCATCTCGGCTATGTGTCGAAGCCGTAGTGCTGGATGTGCACTCTTTCGGTCTCCTCCGTTCTTTTTGTGATATATCCGGTCGGCAAGCAGAGGCTTTATCCGTCTCTCAAGTTGTACCATTTTTTTGTTTCTGTTTTTGCTTTCTACTCCCTCTCGCGTTTCCGTATCAGTTGGCTTGCCCTCTGACGAGCGAGCAAGGCAGCAGTTAGTTCCGTGCCCCCTGCCATGCTTGTGCACAAATTGTGCTGTGCTTTTCCTTCCGGGAGGGAATTCTCTTTCCAAATTTCCAGCGAGGTCCCAATTTGCTTTGTAACTCTATAGGCTCTTTCTCTCACTGGTCTGCACAGCTAACAGGCGGTACTCGTCAGGTTCATGTACACGATAGGGATAGGATTGACGAAACCAGCAAGAGTGGTGGTTTGGCTAAAGAAGGAGAGCAGGGAAAGATTGGAGCAGGGCTTGGTCAATCACCACCAAATGGACGAGAGACTTGTCGGATTTGTGCTACATGGCGTGGATGTCATCCAGAGTGTAATCTTTTCATCGTCTTGAGTTCATGCATGTTTCCGTAGTCTCCAGTTCATGCCATCTTGTGGTACGAGGGCTTTGTCCTTGCTGAGCTTTGTCCATTTGCACTGCGGATGGTGGCCGGGATGGGATGGGTGGCGACCGAGTTCGCATGCGTTCCATTATATTGCCCACTTGCCTGATTAGGTAATCAGGCTAATGGTTTGTTTCTTAAATACGGGAAAAAAAAAAAATTCAGTCCCAAATAGTGTGGCTCATTTTTCCTTGATGTCTTTACCCCCGCAACTGTTTTGCTGTCTTTGCAGGTGCTACCGCCCACCACCAACAGATGCAGCCTACCCCACGGTACTAGTGGTGTCTGCTCATATCAGCACCCCTAGTAACCTGAAGGGAGCTTCTTAAAAAAAAAAAAGTCATTATACCTGTATTTGACCGGGTGGTGTCTGCCCAATTTTAAGTCTAGCTACGCTGGTAATGACCAGGTGCTCTGTTCGGTAGTCCACGTTGACCTTCACCTGCACACGCTGTGTATGGTCTCCTGCATCTCCGCGACGTGACACGTCAGTTTTTGCGCATCTATGGCTGCAGTGTTGTGTTCTCTCCGAGAATTTGCTGAAACACGTGTGTGGTGATGATGTCACAGGAAGCAGTCACTGTTTTTTGCATCCCTCTGTGATTTTTTAATGTCTACTCAAGGTGGCGGGTAGAGAATCGAAAGGGGGGGGTTGGGGGGGGGAGGGGTGGAGTAGTACCCGTTCATACTACCTCTACCTCCTGGTGCTTCATGTTGCGATCAACGATCTTGCTTGCTACGATGTAACATCTTGTCATCTTTACGTGTGCATTTCCGAGGCTGGAGTCGCCCGCGGAATTTATCTTCTTTCTGGCCTCTCTCTCACTTGTAGAATTGAACTCTGTACGTCTCACACCACTCTCTGAGCACAGGAACCGAATTTGACGAACGGCCATCATCACCCCAGGAACCGAATTTGACGAACGTCCATCATCACGAGGGAAAGACACAGATACAAACACAGGCACCCCGAACACTGCAACATCCCGTGGAGGGGGTTTTGCTGCCACCCTGAACAGACGTGTGCCGACTGTTTGGCACTTCCGAAAGGCTTTCATGATTCGCACAAGAGAATCACAGGGAAGACAGAGAAAACATGGATTTGGGCACAACCTGAAAAGAATATCTTAGAAGAGAAGTAGACAAGTTGTGTATGAATCTGATTGTGTGTGTTTGTGTGTGTTCAGGTGTGATTGACGTTTTTGCTATTGAAGCGCTGCCTGCTTACATGAAGCGCACAGGGAAAACGACCGGAAAAGAACACATGGATTGGGCAAACCGGAATGTGTTTATGAAGATGGGGAAGCTGCTTCTCACAACTTTGCAGATGTGAGCGATCGAAAAGATTGCATCAAGAAAGATCTCATGGATTGAGAGAAGAATATAGATTGCAAAATTCAAAGAAAAAGCATTGTGTATAAATTGTATCGACAGCAGTTTTAAAGGGGGCACACACCAGATTCGCCCAGCGGCCTGCCTACTGGGGCAAACACGTGCCAAACGAACGTGGCAGTTTTTTTTTTTTTTTGCGTGCAGGGGGGTTCCCGGCTCGGCAAGGGAAGGGTCACAGGTAGTGGTGTTTCATGTGCTTGGAGAGGTTTTGTACCCCAGCAGCACTTACGGCTGGGCCCAGGCAGAAGGTACACATCACGTGCATGGCTCGGGCCTCCTTTTTTATTTATTTTTCCAACATTTACTTGGAAGTCTAGAAGCGTAGATTCCTAGTCCATTTGGGAATGGGATTACTCCTGTTTTGGTTATGGTGAGCATGCACATCATCGAAACCGGATGCAATGCAGGCCGCTGCAAAGCGGTCTTCGCGGTGCGCCACATGTGATGGGCTACCTTCCGAAGATTCAAGATGATAGATTCTTGACTCAGTCCGGTTCTGAGAGTATTCGCATGTCGGGGGTTCGAATCCCTCTTCCGACAGTCGTCTATCTATGCTTTCTTCAAGCTTATATATACTGGCGTTTGGAGTCTGCTGTGTGATAGTTGGAAAGACGAGAAGTTCTCTGCAGATCGTGAAAATAAAAGAAGTTGGGGGCTCTATTTGACGATATGCACGACCCTTGTTTGTTGTCCTCTTCTCCCTCTCTGCCTATGGTTTACCAGGCGCCTCTGTTTGATGATATATACCACAACTTCGCTAGCACCGTGCTACGGTTTTCCTCGGTCAGGTCGAGCGGCAGTGGTCAGGGCCGTTGCTATGTGACCATGTTGTGCCTCTAGTGCCAGCGACGTGTCTGGAGTGAATATTTTGACTGTGACGGACCTTTCTTTGTTTCGTGGGTGTTTTTCCGGCTTGTGATGGGGTGTGAACTGATAATCTCTACAAGTTTTCCATCTGGTGTGGGTGAGTGATAGTCTGCTTTGATGTTCGTCACAGACACCTTGAGGGCAGTGATTGGTGCCAACCTCACAGTATCAATTGCCGGGGAGTCGATGTTTAACCACAGTTGGGGTTAAGGTGGATTGTCACTTGCACTGTAATCAGTTAGGGGACGAGGGTTCGACCTCTTGACGAGTGAGAGAAACACAGCCAAAACAGTTTGTCACAACCCCTCGTTTGTTGTCAGCATTTCCCTTTCTGCCTTTGGTTTGCCGGGCAGCTCTGTGTGACGATGTATACCACAAGTTCGCTAGCACCCTGCAATGGTTTTCTCCGATCAGGTCGAGCATTAGCGGTTGGGGCTGTCACTACGCGGCCATGCTGCGTCTCTAGTGCCTGCAGTAAATGGCTGTGATAGACCTTCGTTTGTGGGTGTTTTGTTGGCTTGTGATGCGGTGTGCGTGTAGAGTTTTCCATGTCGTGTGGGTGAGCGATAGCTGCTTTGTTTTTTGTCACAGTATCTTGAGGGCATTGCTTGGTGCCCACCTCAAGCTATCAGTTATCGGGCAGTCGTCGATGCTTAACCACAATCAGGGTTAAGGTGGATTGTCAGTTGCAGTGTAATGAGTTAGGGAATTCTGCAGGCTGTTGAGGGTTCATCGTCCTGATGAGTCCGTGAAACTCTGATGAAATCGTCTGTCACAACCCTTCGTTTGTTATCCTTTGTCCCTTTCTGTCGACGGTTTGATGTATATGTAGATAGATAGATAGATAGAGAGAGAGAGAGAGCTGCCTGGTAAACTGTAGGCAGAGAGGGAGAAGAGAACAACAAACGAGGGGCTGTGACAAACTGTTTCGTCGGAGTTTCACCGACTCATCAGGAGGCTATATATATATGTATATGAAATATGACGATACATGAATATATATATAATATTGTGACAACCCCTCATTTGTTGTCCTCTTCTCCACTCTGCTGACGCTTTGCTGGACAATCTGTTTAACGATATCGACATATCATGATGAGTCGGTGAAACTCCGACGAAATAGTTTGTCATAACCCCTCGTTTGTTATCCTGTTCTCCCTCTCTGCCTACGGTTTACCAGGCAGCTCTGTTTGACGATATATATTGTCACATCACTACAAACTAAAAGAGCGCACTTTGCGGAACAAAGAATAAAAGCAAAAAACGGGCACAGTGATAACATGCAAAAAGAAAAAGAAAAAGAAA